GCAAACTACATCTCAATACAGGCCACAAGTGTTAGTCATGTTAGTACTTGCAGTGGCTACGTTTTGGCAACCATCCTCACTACCGTTGCCTTCACATACTGGTCTCCACATGACGATTCCCCTTCAGGACACAAACAATGACCCAAATCAACTGATCGTGGGTCCTCCTTCAACCAGGAAAAGCCAGACCCCACCTCAAACCTCGTCCAAGAAAAAGATGTACCAAACCCCTTCCTACAGAAGTGCATATCGACCGGACTTGGCAAGAAATTGACAGAAAATAAGAACGGCTACATGTACATCATGAGAGCAGAGATATCTGATTCCCCTTCCAGACTACTCAAACACGAGGACACTGACCCAGTATTTCGTGTGATTTTTATTTTGGAGAGGTCACTTTCTTATGCAACAAGGGAAGACAAATCAATCATTTCAGATCTTCCGTTTTCAATTGCTGGCTGTGTACAAATGCAGCCAGCTGCTTCACTTCTCTCCCTGGTGACAAAAGGACAAGGGCTAATTGACCGATTTCTCCCCCGTATCTCTCTGTCTGAGACCCACAGCCTCTGCTACTACACACGTCACTTAAGGACACAGTCAACGAATGGCCATTTTCATTCAGCGACATCATCTTGTATTCAGTTGTATTTATCATTTAAGCCTTGTAGTTCCATTCATCAGGCACAGGCTGTGACTGCCATGGAGAATTGTATCAAAGATGAACGGCAGTGGATGTTACAGGATAGACTCATGATAAATGATACAAAAACAGAGTTTATCATCATTGGTTCCGGTACTAGACAACAATTATCTACGCTAACACTTTCTGACCTTACAGTAGGTGATGTCACAATATCCAAAACATGTCACGTACGGAATTTGGGATCCTGGTTCAATTCTCATTTATGTATGGATCAGCATGTCACAAAAACGTGTTCTGTGGCGTTTTATCACATTCATAACATCAGGCGTATACGTAAATACTTATCAAAGAATGCTTTGGTTGTCTTAGTTCATGCTTTTGTAACCAGCCGGCTTGACTATTGCAATAGTTTATTTTATGGTCTTCCGAATACACAACTGGCCAAACTGCAAAGAGTTCAGAATGCAGCTGCCAGGCTTGTACATGGGGCATCACGCTGGAACCACATAACACCATTACTTCATCAATTGCACTGGTTACCGATTTGTTTCCGTATTCAATTTAAAGTACTACTGCTTACATTCAAAGCTCTTCACGCCTTAGCACCTAACTACATTTTGTATTTTCCCCGCTAGACACACGTCCGGAACCCCCGCGGGTACCAGGGTGGAGGACTGACAATCAGGCCCAAGGACGACATAGTGCAAAAAGTGAAGGTACACAACCTTCAGTACCACTTCTTGAGGGCGGTAGGTTGCCGCAACAACAAGGAGATATCACCCATAACCTCGCGGGAGGGGAGAAACCTTTCTAGTTTACTATCGGGACCTCCTTGCGGAGATGACGAGCCGGCCAGAATTTCTCGGCAGGTACAGAAGAGAGGTGCGACTGGCAACGTGTATGCTCCAAGAGGCCATTCTCTTTTGCAATCACCTACAGTTTTACTTAACGGTCACAGGAAAATTTCATATGCATTTTAAACCGATGTAGTAGTCAGAATTCAAAAGAGTCCCCAACACAAACCTAAAGTCGTCCACACCAATTCACTGAAACCTTTTCACGGGGAAGTCGACCGGTCATGGTTTAGTCTTCCTCGGGGCGAAAGTGGACCACGTGAAAGCATTGAGCACGATCGGGAAACTGAATCACGTGAAAACATTGAGAATGATGGGGAAACTGAACCACGTGAAAACATTGAGATTGATGGGGAAACTGAACCACGTGAAAACATTGAGATTGATGGGGAAACTGAACCACGTGAAAACATTGAGATTGATGGGGAAACTGAACCACGTGAAAACATTGAGATTGATGGGGAAATCGAAACTGAACCAAGTGAAAACATTGAGGACAATGGGGAAACTGAACCACATGAGCATATGGAACCTGATAATCTAACCAAAGCAAAAGGGCTCGATGAGAAAAGGCCACCCCCAAACAGCACAAAAGACAAGCAGGAGTACTTTTCTGTCCACCCCCGACGGAAACGAAAACCCCCCCCCGACAGATTTGGGGAGTGGTGTATATAGTTAATGTTGCTATCTCCTTTTTGTTTTGTTTTTGTGTGCCTCAGGCCAAGGATGGGTCGGACTAGAAGTCGCAGCCCTACCAGACGATTTGAGTGTTGGGAGTGCCAGCGGCAGTTTACCAACCAAAACAGCTTGCGACGACACCTGGCAGACCAGCACGGTCTGAGGGAGAGGTTCAAGTGCCCCTACTCCAATTGTTCCCTGAGCTTCACGAGGAAGCACGATTTGGACCGCCATCTGAGGATGGCACATCAGGAGGTCACCCCGTCGGTTTCCCATGAGCAGGTAATGGTACCCCGCACTCCTGGCAGGGATCAAGCCCCGCCGGAAGACAGGTTCAGCCTCCATGCCTGGAATGTTGAGAGGAGAGTGATGGCAGCCTCCTTTTCGCCATCACCAGTTCCCGTGCCGCAGGAAGCCGCGCAGCGAAGGATCCAGGTTCCAGAGCAAGTCTCCATCGGCACACAGACGGACGCCCGGAGCGGTACCAGACACCACCGAGTCGTCCAGCGGACCATTCAAGAGCTGCTGGACAAGGCAGGAAGAATTACGACCCGGGTCGTACAGGAGAAATTTATTCAAGAATAGGGCAATGTTGTTATAGTTTTATTTGAATTGAATTGAATATCTGTATTATTTAACATGTTTTTGAGGATCAACAATTTTGTTATAATTTAAATTGACTTTAAAGTAAATGTTTTTGCTTACAGGTGTTTAATGTTTTTAAAGTTGTTTACTGTCCAGAATTTGGAAATTGATTTTGTCACATTGAAGTAACAAAATGTTTATTTTACAACAGCAGGGCAGAGTCTTTTGAAATGTGTGAAGGAAAAGGAGGAGATGACAAAGGAAACGCCGTCCGTTGACAGGAGCAAAGCCAAACACCGCCAGGCCCCGTCAGCGACTATGTCCTCTGCTAGCCAAGCTGAGGGTAATGCTCCACTGGATCTATCCGTTCGTGCTCCAGCCCAGATGCCAGCAGAGATCTCGTTGTCACCGTCTCCAATGTCGGTCTTTGGGGAGGCTAAAGAGGCGCCACGGCCATTCGTACGAGCTGGAGGCGGGAAGCCACGTGGAATGTTGGCCATGATGAAGGTCAACGAGGCTACAGATGGAGAATCTCTGGAGGTAGAGGCGACGTCCCCACCGGATGTGGTGCCGGCCAAACCCATACAGCTGTCAGCCATGAAGGGAAAAGTCAAGAAGGTCGTCTAGAACACCACAACCATCCGCTATGACACAGACGGGAGGAATGTGGAAGAGATCCGGCAGCATCGAGTATACCACGTGGAATTCGAGCATGACTTCCGGAGCGGCACCTCCTACAGTTTCTACTTTGAGTTGTTCAGTTTCTTAAAAGTTATCTAGCGTTTTATAAAGTTTCTATTCATCAAAAGTTTCTAAAAGTTTTGCATTTATCTAAAGGGTTGTTACGTTTTGTATTGATCTAAAAGTTGTTACGTTTAGTATTTATCCAAAGGTTTGTTAAGTTTTCGAAAAGGGACTTCACCTCATTTTGATTAAGTTAATGAGGAGGCGTCCGGTTTAGAGGCGCTTGAGGTGTTGTCCACTCGATGTCTTAAATTTGGAGGCGTTTATGTAACTTAGTTGATGCGCCATTATGTATGTACCTTGAACCTCACCAGATAATTTTCGCATTTGCTTAGTTTGTTATTTAGCTTTTTGACCGGGACGGTCAAAGCAATAAGGAGGCTTTGTGATGCAAATGAGCGAGATTTGCTATGCGATGCGAGCGCCAGCAAGAAATCAGAGTCTAACTATAGAGGGTGCTAGAGCGCTACTGCGCTAGTTGCACACATTCAGCGCGAGCGGCAGTGCGTGTTCCTACATCGTCGGCAGCGGACGTGTGGAGTGCTGAGCTCAGGTATTGGAGGCTACAGTGTGCGCTACCTCGATTTGAGCGTGGGCCACTGTTAGGAATACTTGAGTGGGACTGCGGTGGGATGCTGATAAGGAAACTAAGGATTAGTTTCTGGTCCGTATACTAGGGGAAGGGAGTTAACTTACCTTTGGAAACCCTAGGGGGAGGCACTTGTAGCCTCGAGAGGCTACAACGGGAGGATCACAGCAATCACTTAATTTTTGAGGGTACAGTTTAATCGACGATAACTGGGAGGTTCAAGCAGCAGTAATTGAGTGATAAATAAAGGAGGTCACATCATCATTATTTCCTTGTCCCATTTACTCTTGACCCGTGTCCTGTCTGTCCCCGAGGAGGTTTACTGAGGGTCCAATCAAAAATATTGCAGCGACGTAGCTTTCGATATCATTGCGACATCTTAACAACGTGATGGAATCCAATACTAGTAGTAAAAAGCTGCTAAATGTTCTCTAGTTTATTTGTTTGTTTTTTTATTCTTCTTCCCCCAAGCCACATGCTCGTCCCATCTCCAAACCATTTCTGATGAAATAGTCTCTACTGCACATATTTTTTTTAAGCATAAGCCTCTTGATCACTTTCACCCTGTTTTATAACCCTACAGAATTCACAGACCATCTCAGCTCCTTTGGAAATACATGTATAAGTAAAACCTACTTTATGTTACACCTGTTTTACGAAACAGGTTTTTTTTAGGTCACATAATAGTGACATGCGGCAAATTGGTCTTTTCTGTACTGAACGTTAATTTCTACTTAACCAGGTTTTGCGGGGATTATTTTGACAAGAACGGAATGAGGAATGAGATTTTTTTTCATTCGACCTTATTAAAGCCAGTTGGTTTGAAGCCATCACCCTCGGGCAGCACACTCATATTTTGGGGATTCGCTCACTGTGAGCGGGTCGCTGACAGATATTTCTGGCCTCGCTCCCTGCGTGTTTATCCGTCATCCGTTCCAAATACCGCAAAACCTTTGCAGGTATAGGCCTACATGTCATCCGGCGCGAATTGGTTAAATGTGGGTAATGTAGAAGTGTTAACCTTAAGAGGAGAATGCAAAATTAAACAGGCAGTGACTCAAAGTTTACCTTGAAGGCTTGGCGAGGTTTAACAGGGTTTTCTGGGTTACTTCAGGGTAAAATCTTGGGTTACCGCCTCTTCAATTTTGCACTCTTCCCTTACTATTTCATTTGGGTAGAGAAATATTATACTGATGCTTCAGTGTTTGTTTCGCCTGTCGGTTGCCTCTTGGCATGACGTTAGAATACATATTGGCATGAGGTCAGAATGCACATTGTATACAGCTCAATGCAGCCATTTCGGTTCACACTGCAAAAACCAGCCCATTCATCATCCCATTCAGGGATGGGAATACAGAACTTGTGACAAAACACCCTGCCCATGGACACATACATTTACACTGTAACTCCTCAAGCTGGGAACTCATTACCCTACTCACATATCTTGAATGCCACACTCCAGACGAAGCACTTGACTTATTTTACAAGCCAATAGAACACATAGGTTGCCCCTGCTACGTAGTGGCTGGCATAGTCCAGGTGAGACCATTTCTTAAGAGTGTGATGCATTTCATATCCCTGTAAAATAGAAGGAAAACAATGCATGTATCTCAATCACTTAACTTGATGAATGAGCAAAGTAGTTACATGTAATGGTGGGACGTTCTGGCAAAATGTGACAGAACTGGGCAGAGGTTGAAATGAGGGTTGGCAAGTATTTAGAAAAGAGAATAATATTCTCCCTACAATACTGGGCACAATTGCAGAATAGCCCGCCACTCGATCTATGCACCTCGTAGCCGGCTACGGAGTCACGGTTGATTGCCCTCAAGAAACCATCTCAGTGCTACCTGTATGTACTATGTACGTCATGCTCCAGTGCACTCCCCCTCCGTATCCGCGTAGCCAGCAACAGTGTAGTTGTTTTGGACTAAGAATTTTTTTCAGCAACCCCCATTCCTTTTGTGTTGCTTCGTTCTCAAGGGGACCCCCACTCAGTATCCGCGTAGCTGGCAACAGATTTGAATGGTTTTGTTTCCAGTGATTCCAACCGCGTAGCCAGAGATTTTAGGGGTATATTTCCAAGTGGCGTGGTATTCTGCAATTACCCCCAATATCAATAGGTCTGAAAATTGAAAAAACATCAGGGCCATTTTTTTCTTCATTTTTTCCTCGTGGCCGGTGCCCAGTTCTGTCTGTTTTTTTTCGCCAGAATGAATCACAATTTCATTTTTCACCAACAAATTCTCAGTAAAGTAGTTGTTTAATGACCTGATATACGGTACATGTACTCCATAGCATTTTCAATGACTTGACTTGACTCCAAACAACACAACTCAGCAGAAGTAAATGCGAAGTAAATGACCGATTTAAAACTTGATTAAAACCTCCAAATCAAAACTTGACTAAAACCTCCCAATCAAAACTTGATTAAAACCTCCAATTCAAAACTTGACTAAAACCTCCAAATCAAAACTTGACTAAAACCTCAAAATCAAAACTTGACTAAAACCTCCAAATCAAAACTTGACTAAAAACCTTAGTAAAAGATTCAAATGAATTTAGATACTTGAAACCTAAGCCAGTTTACCAATTCACATGGGTGGTTTTAAACCGTCAGTAAAACGCTGCTGCGTTCTGCGGTAAAACGCTGTGCGCGCCAATTTCCATATAAGGAGATTTTTTAGCACAATTTTTAGCGTGAGGCACGTACCATAGACATGGCCAGAGGGATGCTTCACAAAACTTGAAGTAAATTGTTGAACAAATCGTTGGAAATTTGTATTCTTCTGGCTTGGTTTTGGCTTGCATTGTATGGACCGAAAGGTATTTATGAATGGGAATATAAATATGTGTTTGGCCAGTTTTAGACAAGTACATTTAAAACTGGCTAGGGGCGTGGATGCTGATAATTGCCCTGGCCTTCGGCTTGGGCCATTATCAACGAACAGGGCCCAATTTCACAGCGCTGCTATATAAGCACACGATTATCTGCTAACAGAGCCTCCGTCTATTTCATTGAGACCGTAAGCATAAGCACAGCAAAAGGCACGCTTACTTCGGAGGAGAAATTTGTTTAACTTAGCGACGTAACAATAGAAATCACCATGCGCGCGACCGTTAGCACATTCGCGCCGTGAAATAGTGCTTAAAGTTAGCACTATTTTTCTGCTATGCTAAGCACAACTTTTCTGTTAACTGTCAAGCAGCAACGTGAAATTGGGCCCAGGCCCCTATTCAGTTTTAAACATATTTCTCTAACACCGGTCATGCACATATTTATGTCCTTAGTTCAGAATGACTGAATGGAAAATTTTACATCAATCTTGTCCGTCTGAGACTGAATTCTAAATGGGGCTGGTCAAAGTCACCCAAGTACGTTTTGGTTCAACACCACTCTGGAGTGCCAGATTAAAACAGTTGTCATGATCATAACTCACTTTTTCCTGAAGCTCTGATGAATCTGAGCTAAACATGACCCCAAGGTACGCAAGATGGAACATGGCTAGGAGACCGAAGCAGATATTGGTCAACAGCACCAATGGATTGGCCTGCAAGCAAGAAACATGATCTCAAGATTCAATATTTGAACAGTTCTACTGGGTATCCTCTGTGTTCTAATAATAATAATATAAATGAATATTAATTAAGCGCACACATCCACCTTATAATAATAGGCGCTCATGGCGCTACAAAATTTAACAGAGATTCCATGACTTGTGATTGAGTTTGTGATAAGTTGCAGAAACTACTGGAACTCTGCAACAGAACATGCCTAATGGACAATAACTTTCTGGTTTGCAAAAAAAACCATGTAGTTCTTTACCACCAACAAATGGCATGCCATAAGGCTAGATACCACTTCTTTGTCACCTTATCTATGTTGAGCAGGTACATGTAATGCAGAGTCGGTTGTAACAAGATTATTACTTACACTCTGGTACGAATGCTGGCAATCGGGTTTGCACCTTCTAGCAAGAATACATGCGTTGAATATTGTCGCCAGCTTCTGACGTAAAACTATGAACAGGTATGAAGAACACAGAAAACAAATTATGAAAAGTAGTTTGTAATACATGTACAGGGTGACCCAAAAAAATGCAACCCTGAAAATTTGCCATTTTTTTCTGTGAATGTTCATGTTTTGGATATCAGATTAAAGCTTATAGTTTTTTTCTTTCAAATACTGAACAAAAATCATGAAAATAGCACATCTGGTTGCTGAGAAAATGCCAATTTTGTAAAAGAAGTGATTTTTCATCCTTTCCAATAGTGCTTCGAACAGTGAAACATGTTACTGTAAGCCCACTGTGCAACTGTCTTTCATTTGTGCAATATCTTTAACATTTTGACATATTTATGATGCTGAAAAGGTTTAAAACAGCACTAAAAAGGATAAGATACCTGTTCAGGTGTAAAATAAAAGGTATTTCCAGGTGGAAAATAAAAGGTATTTCCATCAAATTCATTTGTACTCTTGTCATATTGTGTGCGTGTTGTTTGTAAGGATACGGACATAATGCATTTCATGCACAAATAGATACAGTGTACCGGTACATTGTATCCCTTAACTGTGGTAATGCCATTGGAATGGACCAAAAAGAAGTTGTGTTACATAATTGGCATTTTCTCAGCAACCCAATGCCCTGTTTTCATGATTTTTATTTTCAGTATTTGAAAGAAAAACCTCTCAGCTTTAATCTGATATCGAAAACATAAAAATTCACACATCACGTTTGTGACAAAAGGCACATGTTTCAGGGGTCACCCTGTATATTCATAAAATGAAGAGTACCGGTATATTTCCAAACATATCCATTTGAAAGAATAAAAACAGTATGGCAGCTGTTTATATACTCCATTTTTCAGCATATTGTATTCTTAACTGTGTTCAAGTATTTAACAACTGTCGAAATTGCTTTTGGGCAGCCAGGATAGAGAGCAGGATTCTAAAAAGGGAACAAAATAGCATATATTCTGTTTTGGAATCTTTAAATCTTTTTCAATGGCATCTCTCACTGTCTCTGAATTTGGTCATAAAAACAATTATTGTTTCTGTATCCATGAGCACTTTTATCATCCCAATTTAACATTCTCTGTCATCTCTTCACAAGCTTCTCCAGGTTTTGCAGCTATGCAGCATCCCCCTGTGGACAGTTTCTTCCTAACATTCTCCAGACAGTGTACTCACCATGCTCAACATAGGAATAAAAACCCAAGGAAAGTAGAACAGCTGCTAGCTGGAAATTCAAACCCTGAAATAAAAAGGAAGCAATTCATACATGGTATGCATGCTCTTAATCATTATATCTATAAAGTGTGTATATTTTATCTCTCGGCTGGCTGACAGCATATCACCCTAAGATGCTCTTTTTATTTTACTTTTACATGTTTTTTTACTATTTTGCATTACTGTGTTACCCTTTCCTTACCAAATTGTTTATTGACTTGGCTCTCCCCAGGACCAAATTGTTTGCTCAGTCATGCGCAAATCACTAAAGCGTGAAAAATGGACCACAAGTTGAAAACTCACTTTTTTTTCAACTCTGATTTTCACTGCCAAGGAGTGATTAAAGTCAAAGGTGTTGTGTGTAAACTTTGTTCCTTGAACTTTAGTCTTTCATGTGATGTTAAAATTAAGGCCATATGTGCAAAAACAAGAAAATTATGCCTGTTTGTTGGTCTGGCCCCAGTTATCAGACTGCAAGCCATTTCACCACATGACCAAATGGCACTCCATATACATGTACCTGAAATTGTGCATGGCTACTTCTGAAGCACTTTTCGTACATTTTTGTAATGGTAATAACACTATGAATAAACTACACCGTTAGAACGATCCGAAAACACTCTTTCAGCTGGTATATGTTTGATGTATGGATGGCCAAACATACTAACATGCCAGCTTTCTGAAAAGCAGTGATTAAATCTGTGTTGTGGGTTTTCCGTGTGAGGTTTCCTGGTCAACTAAAGTTGCCTGTGGTAAGCAGCAGGGGTAGATCCTTGTCGACAAAAGTCGCCCATGGAAATGAAAGGGTAAGGACACTAGTAATTTCATTGGTCATCAACTTGTAACTTAACAGCACAAAATAATATGCAAATAGTGATTGTTTATGAGTGCAGGGTAAGTATATTTCCATGAGGTGTCAGATGGAATGTACCATTCCATGAGGCACCTCGTGGAATGGAATATTCAATTTGTCACCAAAGGAATTTGTTCTTTCCATTGCACAAATATAAAACATACACCATTTGTTTCATACAACACCTGAATAAATGCTTGACCTCTGATTGGTTAGGGCCACCTATCGTGTGACCGTGCAATCAAACTTCTATTACCATTAAAATGGAACTTGTTTTGTCGCGTTGGGACAAATAACTCAATGACTTGTGATCAAGACCCACCAACCAGATGACAGGGGTTTATTCAGGCCTTGTATAGTATGTATTGTGACTCACATGAAGCAAAGAGCTGGCAGCATATGTTAGAAGAACAGCAGCAAAGTTTCCAAGCTTCCTGCTGGTTTTGAATACATCTACCGTAGGAAGAAATATAGTAAAAAGCATAAATATAGTAAAAAGCATAATTAAGTATAATTTTTAAGTAAATGCAGTGAAATCTTGATAAGTCAAACTCTGATAACTCAAAACACCTGTTAAGTCATATAATTAAAGGGAATATACAACATTTGCAAACATCAAAAAATAAAACTACCAAGTTTTTACGAAATACCCTACTAGGATGTTGGTAAATGACAGTCTAAAGCATCCTGTAAAATTATGGCACCTGGTGTCAAGTCATTTTCAAGAAAATGGTAATTTTGTATACATTTCCAACAGTGGTCGGCCGACCACCGTTGGAAAAACCTAACTATTTTTCAACTACTGCTCCAAATTTACAATTTTTTTTCAGTCCAAATTTAGTTTGCTATTGGTTACATGTTCATGAATGGGTGCAGGCCAGCTAGACTGGTTCCCTTACCTTACAATTTTCCGACATCTATAAATTGATCCATTTTATCTTTGGTGGAGTCAGGGAACCAGACTACTTAAACAATTTTTGTTTTTCTTGGTTTTTCAAGCATTTTCAAACACAAAACTTCAAACATGTCACTTAAACAATATTTGATCTATTATACTAACCCCTCAAATAGTTCATTTCTGAAAATTACAGCAAAAGCCAATGATGTACATTCCCTTTAAGAATCCATTTCCTTCATACAGTAGTACAATGTATAACAATGATATACAACCCTGCTTAACTCAGAACTCTGCTTAAGTCAAATTTTGAACCTGTTCCCTTGAGGTTTGACTTATCAAGATTTCACTGTAGTCACTGTACTGGTACCACCCCCAATCGTCCTGCCAATTACTCCCTGTACTGCCCCAAGCACTCTGTGGTTTTATGGATCCATCAGGGAATAAATACAATGTAATACCATGTAGAACAGAAGCTGGTGGGTTAATCGTCCATCAATTTGGTTTTTTTTAAATATATTTTCTGCTTTACAGCCACATGCACATGACACTAGACCTAAGCTACAAACAGTACCAACTAGAGTGAACTCCACGCACTACGCACATACCAGGTAGTAATAGATCAGGGCAGAGTGACATTATCCAATGAAAAATCTATTCATGTCCACACCAGTTTTCATCGGTTGCTGTGCGTTTTCATCATCAGACTCAAGAACCACTAAGTTTCAAGAACATAGGTCTGGGAGCTAGATATAGATGCAGAAAATTCCCGGATGTCCGCGCCCATCCATACAATGTCAGGAAAGCCCAAACATTGTTTTTATAACAGCTTGTTCTACCGTGTCTACTCACATGTTTTCAGCCACATGTGCATAGGGAGATTCCAGTTGGTGACGACTTGAACAAGAGAACGGGGCAGCTCAATGTGCCAGGGCCTGGCTACGCTCAGTTCCCTGTGTCCAAACACAATCAAGAAAAGATATCATTCAAGATACATATGTACAGCCCATTCAGCTCCTCAGCTGGAAATACATTATGAATTATGTTCACAGTTTAATGTAACTAGTCCCCACCCCTCCCCCACCCAGACTGTACACTGTTGACGCTCCCTTACGTGGCATGACTCCTAACACGGCACACTTTGATTTTTGGCCTCTTGTGCCTTGAATTTTACCTCAAATTTTGTACTAAGTAAAATTTCAGCAAGCTCTTAATACTCCCGTTCCTAAACCTCGAGTTTACTGACCCATTACATGACGACAGAGAATTTTTCTGATTTTGTTTTACGTGCATAGTGAACCATTTAAAAATGCGCCCCAAAATAAAATAAAAACTTCCTAACACACATTTGGTTGGATATTGGAGTAAAGATAATAATAGTTTATCTTAGTTTAACTTTAAAGAAATTCTTCAATTTTCACTTGGGAATTTTTGAGATTTAGACAAGTGTGCTACATTCGGGCATTCATTTTCCACAAGGATTCTTATCTTACCAGTGTTTATTTCCACCTTCTTTGGGGGCACCGAGGCCCAATGCTAATGATGTGGACTCTGAAACAAAGCTGACAAAGTAATGACTGAACCGGAACGACATGGCGTCTTTGTATGCATCCAACCACCTGTAGAGGGAAAATAAATTGTTTAATTCCTGGGCAAACTATTCCCAAATACATATTGTTTTGCATTTTTTTTTTGCATTCAAAGTTGTAGACGCAAGCAATTATTACTTGGCATCAGACTTGACGTTTCAGGTACAATATAATGTGACAATGGGCAGTTTTCCCATAATTTTATCGTGTGCTTGGATACTGTAATTGCATTGGTCGAGAACGGCCACATGTCCAGTCTGTAAAATTGCATATGATGGTTAACCTCATATACAATGCACGTTGCACGTGTACGTGTAGAACCTGCACGCGCGCTCGTGACTGAGAAATGCTTGCAGTGCGCAACCGCTCAGTCTCATGTCTGGCAGGAATACCTGCAGTTATCAAGGGTTACACTGCTCTGATTTAATTTTAATGCAAAGTAATTTACAACCATTTTATCGTTTTGACTTAGTGGCACGATATAACACACCAACTGGTGACTGCTGTGATATGGGATATGCCCTTTTTAGTTGCTGTTTTCATTTTTCAACATTTCCTAAGTGTCTCAAAATGATAAAATTGGCATATTGCCCATTTGAACAGTGCTTGCTATTGACTGGGAAAGCAATAAGTTCAGTATTATGAGAGTGGACCATCCACAAAGATACCGTGAAATTAAAATTAAAGGTGCGATATGCTAGATACACATGTACATACATATATAGGACACTAGGTCTTCATAAAAAAAATATCGGAATGACTGGACTCAGACTTGACATGCACATAAGAAACTCAAATGTGCATTCTAATCCATTGGCAAGTCTGAATTAGAGTTTGCCACACATATTTCAAATTGTTCAGACATATTTCAGACATTTTCCGACTATTGGGGATTTTAGGACATGTTAGGGTCATGGTGTCAACAAGGCAGTGTTGTAGTCCATCACAAGTCCTCCAGTCTCAGGTCACAAACTGTTCAATGAGCGATGATAAAGGCATTCTTTTCTTATTGTTTAGCCCCTTTTTTCTTGTACCAGACTTGTGAATTTACCTCTAATTTACTTGTGATCGCACTTGTGATCATACTTGTGATAGACACCACAACAATACTGCTACAACATGTAGGGTAATAAGATTTTGTATTGATGACATCACACTTTGTTTACATGTGTTTTTTCTTATGGGAGCCTTCTCGCTACTTCTGTTTCGCAGCCCCATAGAAAAGCGCACAAGTAAACAAAGTGTGACGTCATCAGTGCAGAGGCTTATTGTCACTTCTCACTTTTGATCAAATCCCAGAAAAAGGACCGGTGCCAGACAGGTGGAAATCAGCAGACACAGCAATGACTGCAGGAACTTGAAGAATGTTGTCACTAGCCAACGTAGATCCTGTCAATGGGGGAAACAAGTTTTAAACAGACACAGATGAAAATTTCATCAATGGACCGATTTGGTCTGCTGTTTATACTGCGCTGACGAGTCAGAATGTTGATTTATTGTGCGGTATATTGGGAAAATATGTCACTTCTAAGCAAAGTAACTTTTTCGCTCTTATCTTGTGGAACGTTTGCACTCAGTGTCAACCATCCCATTGAATCCACTGATCTTTAGAGATCAGTGATTAACCACATTGCGCCGGCATTATTTTTGGCGAAAGTTTCGATTTTTGCAAAAGGCAAAATTGTCCTGCCAACTTCTGATATACAGCCAAACGCCACAACTACTGATTCGCAAGAGTCATTTCAACAGTATTTGTTCGATGTTTCTTGCCGAAACCTCATAAGTTTCAATACTCCGTGGTGTGCACTGAAGCAATAGGTTGTGCACAATGGCCAATTCAAGTGAACACAGTCCGTCTCCACAGACTTCACAAACTGTGTGTGTGTGTGCAAAAGGTATGAGGGATTAGCATGTTTAGACGTCACCCGGAGGCGAGTCGAGGCAATCTTGATGTTTTAACCCGTCGGCCGTGGTTGTGTATAAAAACATCCAGTGCTTGTTATCACGTCCAATGACACAAACGGATTAAAACCAGCACATTCTAATTTTTTGCCCACGCAGAACCGCCAACAGTGTAAATCAGCCGTTTGTCAGGAAAACACGTCCAAAGGATATATTTTAACTACATAAGTCTCACTTACTATATCTCCACCAGGTTGAAGCAGACGAATATAACTCGAGTAGCTGATCCAGGGGCCAAATATGACAGTAGCCAGGTTGAATGTGTAGCCCAGATACTCCACGAATTCTGGAATCTCAGCTACAACCCCTTGGTCGAGGTCAAAGGCCAAGGAGATGACCTTCATAACCAAAATCATCTGGGGTCCTTGAGCAATGAGTGAAACAACAAAAACAATAATATTCACACAATTTTACAGTGTACTGGCCTTGCTTTTTTAAGTTCCCCACCCAACCCCTTAGACAATGTTAGAAATGTTCACAGAAGGTATTCACCTTTGAATGAGACATCCGGCATGTGGAGTCAGGTTGGTGTACATGGTGTAGCGGTACGTTCCTTGCCTTCCACCGCTGTGACCCAAGTTTGAATCCTGCCTGGGCCAACATGTGGATTGGGTTTTCAGTCCCTGCCTGATTCCGCGGGTTTTTCCCAGAATATTCTTCTGGGGTTTTCGTCCCACCTCTAAAAGTGTCATTTCTTCTTATTGTATTCTCTCTACAGGTTTCTTCAGGCCTAGCGGTACAATACCTAGGGCGCGTTTGAGGAATCCTTAGTTTCATCAACAGAAATAAATGCCGGTAATAACAATAATAATTAACATGAATCCCGCAATAGGGCGACAAGTTGTGCGGGACTTCCACTACATTAGGGCGACACACCGCAATAGGGCGACAATTTTGGTGTCGCCCTATTGAGGTAACTACCCTTCAGCGAAGGAATTTTACTGTCGCAAATGGGCTAGATCGTTTGCTCTTGGTCCAAAACGTACACATACCAAACTTGGTTGGGATCGGATAAGGAAAAATTGGGTTAGGTCACATTAAAGTTTGAAAAAAAATTGTGCACGTTTCTATGGAAGTGTCTCCCTGTTCTGCAATCCAGAGTTATTACATAATAATAATGATGTTTAGTTATGGAAAAATTTTGAACTATTACTTCAAAATTTTGAATTATTGCATTTGTGGCCCACCAATAATGCAGTTCATGCAGGGTAGACTGGTTCCCGCCTCCAATAGGATTGAACATGAAGAGACACGGAGACATTCTTCTCACAAAAATTGCTCAATTTTTAGGTTTTTTAACTAAATCTCAAAACATAATTACCCTCACCTCTAATTTTGTTCCATGCCACAGGATCTGCGAAAAATAGTTCCCTGTAAAAAAAAAAAAAAGAAAGAAAATTAATTATGCACAAATATACACCATGGATATGAAGAGGTAGCGCAGAAAAGTGTTTTTCATTAAAACAGCGAGAGATTTAATAGGGGTGTGCATTTACGGGTAGAAGAGGGTACCCAATTGAAAAGAAAACACGGAAACCCTGGCACCCGTAAAAGAAACCCAACTCCAATATTAAAAATCCCAGAAGTTGCTGTTCAGATTGTTCACAAAGTCCATACGATAATACTACCACATCTGTGTGTAGATACAAGAAGATACAAGTGTGTACAGTGAGCTTTATAGCTTTATGGTGTAAACTGCAAATTCCACAAGCATCATAAACGTGAAATATGTTTCCACAATTCCACGATTCCACAATCTGGAACCGTTTCCTGTCATCAACAGTTCTGTACTTGGGTACCCGGTTCCGATGCACAGCCCTACCAGAGATAGAACCACTCGTCATTTAGAATGATTCCCTTCTCATGTTATAGCTGCAGACTTCTCCAAGGTAGTCTATAAATGTTGCATTACTAAATTAACTGCAATCCAAAAATAAATGACAAAGTCACATATTTGTTTTTGCATTCTTAAATTTCAATCAAGCTCCAAGCAATCAAGGACAAGCTCCAAGCTACATCTGCCACCTGCTCCTTCAATACCAACCTGCAGGAGCACTCCGGTCATCTCATCAGGGACTCCTCCCTACAACAACACCCAGAACCAACCAACTACTCTCAAATCTCATCTATTTTATCAGGCTTATGACCTCACATAGCAATTTTGTTTCTAGCATTGTTTGTTTTTTGTAAAGCGCATCGAGATTTCCTTCGGTAATGTTTTGCACTGTATAAGTTTGATCTTATTATTATTATTAACCCTAACCCACCTCACTCCTCCAAAATCCTCCTGGCGGTTTTGGAGGATTCTAGAGGATTGAGGATGAATGGGGATTGAATCAAATGAGGATTCTGGAGGATTGAGGATGAATGGTAATTGAAGCACATGAGGATTTTGGAGGATTGAGGATGAATGGTGATTGAAGCACAAGAGGATTTTGGAGGATTGAGGATGAATGCATTTTGAGGCAGGACTGTCTGATGATTTTGAAGGATTTGGCGTTGGTTATCCTTCATTTAAATACGAGTGCAAAGTTTTGGGATGAGGAGGATTTTGGAGGATTGAGGATGAATGCATTTTGAGGCAGGACCGTCTGACAATTTTGAAAAATTTAGGCAGAGTTGCAAAATTTTGGAGGATTTTGGAGGATTGAGGATGGTTGTAAGCAACAAGGGCCTAGGGGGTTAGGGTTAATCAGCCTTAAGCCTTAAGCTTAAGCAGAATCTTTTTCAACACTGACCACTACCAATTGTAGTCGAGTCTTAATCCTCACAAGTCCATCGCAAGTCCATGACAAGTTCTCCAGTCCAAAGTCAACGCACAAGCTCCTCAAACAAACTGTTAGTGCTCATCCACTGTTACTTGTGACTGGACTTGTGAAAGGATGTATGTGATTGACTTTCGAAGGGACTTGTCATGGACTCGACTGTGGCACTGACTGATGCCCCTACTTACCAAGGCACCAGAACCATCACATAGACCGCGGCAATGACCGGCCCCTTGTAGTTGATGCCTGTGGCCTGGCAAGCCTGGAGGAGGAAGTAGCCCAGTAGGCCTAGGGCCACGACCTGAATGATGAGACCCTCAAAGAAATAGGACAATGCCAGTAGGCCTACTGCCAGAGATAGTAGATGGTAGATCAATGAGGGCACACCTGTCAGAAAATTATTTGAAAAATAAAATTCAGGCTCATGAAATGGTAACTTTTAATAGTCAAGATCTGCCTGCTCGTTAACCCCACAGCCTCAGCACTCTATCATGTCTGTGAAGGATTCTTCAGGGAAAACTAAGATACCATGTGACACAAGATACCATGCGACTAGAATATTTATTTGTTAGCACCTTCATTACAGACACTAATTCCCTTATAAATCCATTACATTAGGGCCCTGTCACACTTCTGCGTATCCTAATTCCTTATGAGTTGCGCATTGACATTTTTTTCATACGCAGTCGTACGCACAATAAGCACCTCATATGCATCTCTATCGTTTTGTGTAAGTTTTATGTACGCAGGAATACGCATGGTACGGCCCAGTACGCCGGATAGTTTTGGGCATGCACAAAACTACGCTGCGTACGCTGTTACGCAGGTCATAAGTTATAAATAAGCAGCGCATCGGTCCCGCATCGGTCGAGCGTGGTACGAGTACGCTATGTGTTCGTGGGGGATAAGCGGTTCATACGCGGTAATACGCTGACCTCCCGGCACGCACCCCGAGCCGTCTATATTGGCGTTCTTGCATCGCAGATACAACGCACGCTGAACGAACTCATAGCGAATGCCGACGTATTGCACGAATTAGTACCACTCATCCTGCGAGCGGGAAGCGCATTGTACTTATTCGCAACTTATGAGAAACAGCGTACTTGCCGAACTCATACGCATCTCATACGCAATGGGTGCGCTGAATTCGTTACTTGTACGCTAGATGTGCATCGCACATAAGTCTTGAGTTTCATAAGTTTTGAGCGTACGGCTGCGTATTGAAAAATTTGGATAAGGAACTCATAAGGAATTAGGATATGCAAAAGTGTGACAGGGGCTTTAGTGTTGAGGTGGCCTGATATGGTACAGGTACATACCGGTTTATAGCTACAGGCAGGTTGTGTTTCTTGGTTGTTGTTTTGGGGTTTTTTTGGGGGGGTGGGGGGTGCAGAGACTGATGCGTTTAAGTGTCGCTTATTGGGAATGTGTTTACGTGAATTACTAATGCTCTGGCCTACACCGCGTTATGGGGAAGTTTTTTAGTGTTAGGTTAATTAGGACCAAGTTGTGGGGACTTTCTGCTGTCCCCACAGCGTTTTTGGTCCCCACAAATACCTTGTACAGACGAGTGTATGTCCCCACAACTACGGAGTGTACATACAATTACATGTACACTCCGAGGACAGACAAGCACATGGAGAACAACAGATTCCTTGTTGGCCTCAAGAGTTCATCTTTGTTAAATGGTCCTCGATCGTGCGTTGGTGTGCTTAGTTTATGGGAGAGTGTTATAGGGACAAATGGAAAGATGATGCTTGTCCTCAGTAGTTGGGTAAAAAAGGACTGTGCATGTGTGTGGGTAGGCCGTCACCTCATGATTGGGAAGTTTTTTTATTGTTAGGCAAATTAGGACTGAGTTATGGGGACTTTCTGCTGTCCCCGCAGTGTCTTTGGTCCCCATAAGTACCATGGGACAACTTGTGTGTAGTCCCCACAACTACAGAACAAGTATGCATGAGTATGTAAACACCGGCAATCGTGGACTAGGGACAAAATGGATAGGGCACAAACAAAGGGTCCACAATTGACCGACAGTCCACAATTGAAATACCTGTACAAAACCAATGGGAGCTGTTGCTAAAACGTTTGAGTACAAACAAAGGAATGAGAATAAGGGACCATAGGGGGTCCACGATTGCCGGTGTTTACGAAGATGTGTGTGTGGTGTGTGGGTTTCTGGTGTTTTTTCTTTTCTAATAGCATTAATTTTGATATGTTTGTCAGTCAGACACTACTGTAGCTGTACACCTGCAAAAACCTTTGACTTTGTGCATATTCGGACCACACTGGTCATGTGTACTTTGAGACATACGTTTATACATGTGAGTGTACAACATGCATGTTTTGTGTCCGGCACAGAGTAGCCACATTGCATCATCCTCATTCATGTACAGGGTCCGTACTTGTGGCCAATAAGAAACCCACTGAGTCATATCGGACATTGAACACTAAAGTGCCACATAACTTGCCAGTGTTAAATGTAAAACCCAAATATGAAACCAAACATATTCCGCATTACCCATCAGTGAGACTGTCCTCATTGCCATGCACCCGCACACCAGTGGGGTAATAATCTGAATGCCTTGCATCAGCGTCGGCACTACGCAGTTGCCAAAGTGCTCCGTGTAGGAGAAGACCGGTGGCGGGGGCTCCTCGAAGCCAAACTCCCCACCGCTGTAGTAATCTTGATACTGCTGCATCATCTGCTGCAAGACCTCCTCTGGTATGTCATCGTAATCCTGCCAGGGGAATTCGGCGTCCATCATGTCAGCGTCTGCGTCCATCATGCCAAGGTCCATCTTAATGTCTGCAAGTAAGAACAATCATATTCAAATTCTTAGTAAGAGTTTTTCAATTTTTGTGAAATTTCATGTTGAAGTTTTGATAGGCAAACGTGTGCCAACGAATCTGGAAATTTCACGAAAAATAGACATCTGAAAAAGGCAGCAATTTCTGATTAGCCTATGAAGAGGGTGAGTATGCTTCTAAAGCAAAAATAAACTACAACCTAAGCCTAAATGTGAAAATTTTTGACAAAGTTCACCATGTTTTTGTACATGGTGGAAGTGTGGCCTTTATGTACGGAGGTAGTCCAGTAAATTTGCCACATTTATGTGTTGCTTCGTTTCTCAAGGGGCCTCCACTCTGTTCCTTGCTAATTCTACCACCATGCTGTGACTCAGTATCTGCGTAGCTGGCAACAACGGACCAATCCAGTAAGCCCCGCCCACTGCGCACTGGGCAAATGAACACTTGCTCCTCTCCAATGCCACACTGCATTTTCCTGTCGAATGCATCATACGCGAGTGCACGCATGTCGGACATTTGTGCACGCACGTCGGACATAAACCACGGCTGTGATTGGTCAGAACACCATGGGGCAGTGCTTACTGGATCAGTCCATTGGTTTGGACTTGAATTGCTTCTTTCCCAGCGATTCCAACCGCGTAGCCAGATGACTTTAGAGGTGTATTTCCGAGTGTCCGGGAAATCTGCAATTACTCCTCCGATTTAATAATAATACAGTCGTTTTCCTAGTCATGCTAGTTCCGGATTTTTTCTAGTTCCAGATAGCTTTAAAAAAAAACTACCTCTTTTTGATTAGCCTCCAATAATTTTTTTTTGCTGACGAAGTGCATTTTGAAAAGAAAAATGTAAGCTCCTTGATACGCAAAGATCTTTCCGATAAAATCTTTAGAAGAGAAATTCCGACTCGCACTTCGACATGTTCAGTACATCACTTGTACCATGTGATTTTGAATATTTTGTTCATACACTACAGTCGTATAAACTCTTCCATCGAACGCTGGTTGAGTCAAAATAAGTTGTAGAGTCTCTAATTTATTTAATTTCGCCAACGACTGACTGCATGCTTTTGCCTAGTTCCGGACAGCGCGGGCACTTACAACTCAACTACACGGGCACTAATCTGTTTTGTGTGGCATAAGTCTCAGTGGCTGGGCGAAAGATTTTCGGTCCGTGCGTAAGTTCGAGGCTAATCAGAAAGTGCTGCCTTTTTCAGATGTCCATTTTTCGTGAAATTTCCAGAAACATTTGCACACGTTTGCGTATCAAAATTTTAACATGAAATTTCACAAAAATTAAACATCTGAAAAAGGCAGCACTTTCTGATTAGCCTATATAGAGGGTGAGAATGTTTCTAAAGCAAAAAAAACCTACAAAGTAAGCCTAAATGTGAAAATCAAAATTTGGCAAAGTCGACACGTTTTTTGTACATGTGTACAAAATGTGGATGTGGATGTGGATGTGTGGCCTATGTTTACGGAGGCAGTCCAGTAAAAAGGCCACATTTATGGGGCTACCCACTCACCAGAGTCACTGCAGTGCACCGACTGTGCTATACAAATTTGATGGGAATTTAATAAATGTTATAATTGAGCCCTATCTTAAAGAGTACAGCGCCCTCTGTTGATATGGATTACCGCCGGCAAACCTTTAGTAAACGTTAGTTTGCCGGCGTTACCTCCGGCAAAATATCCACTATCATTAATAAATCGTTCGTACGTACATTTTAGTAATTCGTACGTACGGTTAGGTAATTCGTACGTACAGTGTGGTAATTCGTACGTACGGTTTGGTAATTCGTAGGTACGAATAAGATTTATTTTTAACCATGTCCTGGACTCCTATTTCACATTATCTACACTTCCATGCATATCCACTTTTTAATTTAAAAAATAACAGGTTGGCACCTTCGCCCGCATGGATCACCATAAATAATATTATCTTACCTTCCCTTTAAGGCTTTATTATAATTACCAATTAGACTTTTCTAGTGTTGACTGTTCAGTGTGGTGCTAGTGCCAACTGAAATGGCACAGATTTCAGTATCAAATTTCAGCTACCTCGAATTAGAGCTGTAGAGCAAGCAGCATGTTCAGTTTTTGATCTTTTTCTAGGCTAAGGCCGCCCTCAAGTGACCAAAAATAATCAACCTTTTCCACGTTGAAGAGGCTACATGCCAACCTCGTCCCCAGTGCTTACTTTATTTCCAACGGCGTTTCCAATAGTAAACCCTGGATAGGAAACTTTCTTCCTGTATCCTGATTGGATACCGCAATTGGCTAGTAATGGATTTTTATCGTATACTTGGTGCTATATATTCACAACGTGCAGTACGTGTTTTCGCGATCATTCGTCCACGCCTTCTCGAAAATACTAATTTCCTTTCCAATTTGCTCATATTAATATGAAATATGATACTGCATGTTGTCTCGATAAGATCGTAACAGTTTGATTTCAAAAATCGTGTTTTCGTAACTCACGCCGTGCTCGCGCCGCTACGAATTGACTCTGTTTTTACCCCAGACACCGCATACAAAAACAAACGCTAATGTGTAACGCATATCCAGGCACCTGACTGTTCCTCATTTGCATACGTGTGCAAAAATCTTGCACATGCAAATGATCCAATACCAGGTTGAGAGAGCAGGTAGTGGTGGGCGCGTACTGCTCGACACCCTGGAGAGAGCAGATAGTGGTGGGCGCGTACTGCTCGACACCCTGGGGACGAGGTTGGCTACATGCCAACCTCGTCCCCAGTATGGCGTGTCAAACGTTGCAATATTCAATATTTTGCAATATATATGTTGGATGTGTATAATGTGTTTGTTATCTTTTACATTTATGTGCGATGTTCAATATAAGTGTGCGATGTTTTTCATTATTTGAGCGATGTTTAATATATTTGTGCGATGTTTTACAATATATGTGCGATGTTCAACATATGTGTGCGATGTTTTACATTTATATGCGATTTTCAATTTATATGTGCGATGTTTTTGAATATATACATGTGCGATGTTTTCAATATTATGTTCGATTTTTTTGCATTAAATGTGCGATGTTTTTTCGATACAATTGTGTGTGTTGTTTTACAATATATTTGCGATATTCTCAAATATGTGAGCAATGTTTTACACATATGTTTGACAACTCGAGCTATTTGTATTCGATGTTTCATCGGTATGTTTGCATTCGATCTTTTGCAAATGTTTCCCTTTTCATTCAATGTTTCGTTAAGAGTCAAAGTCTGGTTACTAGACCGCGAAAGTCTGACTATTTCGCCTAAAGTCAGTGTATGAGACGTCAGGGGATCGCGTGAAGTAATTAGAGCCAGACCTAAACGGTAAACACCGGAATTGTGGGTAATTCTTTAAGCATACGCAATGCGTTCATCATACCCCCAGCTGTGCCTGTACTACCCATAGTGTTATGTGCATCATCTATGCATTGAGGAGTGCATGACACATGGTCTGAGCTCCAGGGCCGATGTGCACCTGTCCCGTTTAATGATCCAGTTACCTGATAATTTGTTAGCATAAGCTGATGTACAATTGGGCTAAATTAGATGTTTATGAAAAAAAATCAAATTGTAAGGGGTTAACCTTGCATTTTTTTGCAAAATCGGGAAAAATCAGATGTTTCTGGAAAATTGCAGATTGTATGGGTTAGATGTTTATGAAACATTTCATATTGTAAGGGGTGAACATTGCATATTTTTTAGCGAAATTGGGCAAAATCAGATGTTTTTCCGAAAAAATTCAGATGTAAGGGATTAACCTTGCTTTTTTAGTGAAATTTTGCAAGGTTAGATGTTGCGAAAAATTTCAAATTGAAAGGGGTTAACCTCGCATTTTTAAAGCGAAAATGGGGAAAAAATTAAATGTTTCTGGAAAATTGCAGATTGTAAGGGGTTAACCTTGCTTTTTGAATAAGATTGGGAAAAATTAGATGTTCGTGAAAAAAATTCAAATTGTAAGGGGTTGACCTTGCATTTTTTTTAGCAAAATAGGACACAATCAGATGATTCTGCAAAATTGAAGATTGTTAGGGCTTAACCTTGTATTTCTAGCAAAATTGGGCAAAAAGAAATGTTTATGAAAAATTTTAAATTGAAAGAGGTGTACCTTGTATATTTAGTGAAATTTGGCAAAATCAGATTTGTATGAAAAATCTAAAATTTTGCCCAATTTTAGTAAAATATGCTCCAAATTTTGCTTAAAAAGCAAGGTTAACCCCTTACCATTTTAGATTTTTCATACGAATCTGATTTTGCCAAATTTAACAAAATATACAAGGTACACCTCTTACGATTTAAAATTTTTCATAATCATTTCTTCAAGGTTAAGGCCTAACAATCTGCAAATTTCCAGAATCAACTGATTGTGTCCTATTTTGCTAAAAAAAAATGCAAGGTTAACTCCTTACAATTTGATTTTTTTCATGAACATCTAATTTTTCCCAACCTTATTCAAAAGGCAAGGATAATCCCTTACAATCTGCAATTTTCCAGAAACATTTGATTTTTTTCCCATTTTCGCTTTAAAAAATGCGAGGTTAACCCCTTTCAATTTGAAATTTTTCGTAACATCTAAGGGGCCATTCAGAATTTTCAATGTTTTAAAATTTCTACTATTTTTCCAAATTGTGGGTGGGTGGGTCAAGCTAACTAATTGAAAATCGAAATTCTCTTTTCATGGAAAAAAAGATCCAAGTCTTTCCGAAAGGACACGCAACCCGCACAGGCCCGCCAGTGGGATGTAATGATGTACATGCAAGTGCATGTACATGTACATGTACATACTGCGTAACAAATCAGTTTTTTTATAAATCGAAATTAGGGGTGGGTGGGTGGGTCAAAATAATTTGGAAATAAAGTCGAAATTTTAAAACATTGAAAATTCTGAATGGCCCCTTAGTAGTAGTATTTTTATTTTTTTTTTTTTTTTTGGGGGGGGGCGCTATTTTTTGACGTTGGTGGCGCCACTTACACCCCTTTTATATTACTCGAAAATAGGCCACATACATATCACCAAGTTTAAATCTTGGAACTAAAAATAAAATACCAAAAAAAATACCAAAAACCTCTCTTTTCAGAAAAAAACTCGACATTTTGAAAATACACGTAGACTCTTTATACCAACTTTTATAAAAATGTCATACTTCGTGACAATTTGTCAGTGACGATGCAGTAGGCTATTTCGATGATCTCTAAAAAAAAAAATAGATGCTGCGTTGTTTCAAAAGCGCCACCTACTGTCCGACACTGTCCATAAGTTTTAACAGTGCCCCTATGGCCATACAATAAACTGCCATAGACCCCAATGATAAATGCCCCCACTTCAGAAAGTCAGGAAAAAATGCTTACAATTTTTAATACTCTCCATTGAGGTGTTCAAGACACACATGCAAATTAAAGTTTGTTTTATCAACTTTCTTTGTCTTTTCAATTGTTGAGTGAGGGTAATCTGATGACTTTTGGGAGAAATTTCCTCCGAATGATTACCCCTTAAAATAGTCCTGAAGCCCATCGCCATTTTGAAAAACGATGCCTACACTCCTTTGCAAACTAGGGCGCTTTTAGGGCCTCAATTTCATCCAAATTGTACAGAAATACAAGCTCAAGTTCCAGTGCACGGCTTCCACTCATAGTTTGTAGGAACCCTCAAGTTCGTGGCCCACAATACGCTCAAATAATGAAGAATATTTTTTGACGTTGGTGGCGCCACTTACACCCCTTTTATATTACTCGAAAATAGGCCACATACATATCACCAAGTTTAAATCTTGGAACTAAAAATAAAATACCAAAAAAAATACCAAAAACCTCTCTTTTCAGAAAAAAACTCGACATTTTGAAAATACACGTAGACTCTTTATACCAACTTTTATAAAAATGTCATACTTCGTGACAATTTGTCAGTGACGATGCAGTAGGCTATTTCGATGATCTCTAAAAAAAAAAATAGATGCTGCGTTGTTTCAAAAGCGCCACCTACTGTCCGACACTGTCCATAAGTTTTAACAGTGCCCCTATGGCCATACAATAAACTGCCATAGACCCCAATGATAAATGCCCCCACTTCAGAAAGTCAGGAAAAAATGCTTACAATTTTTAATACTCTCCATTGAGGTGTTCAAGACACACATGCAAATTAAAGTTTGTTTTATCAACTTTCTTTGTCTTTTCAATTGTTGAGTGAGGGTAATCTGATGACTTTTGGGAGAAATTTCCTCCGAATGATTACCCCTTAAAATAGTCCTGAAGCCCATCGCCATTTTGAAAAACGATGCCTACACTCCTTTGCAAACTAGGGCGCTTTTAGGGCCTCAATTTCATCCAAATTGTACAGAAATACAAGCTCAAGTTCCAGTGCACGGCTTCCACTCATAGTTTGTAGGAACCCTCAAGTTCGTGGCCCACAATACGCTCAAATAATGAAGAATTTAAGGGCATTCAAATCCTGATTTGGCCGGCGTAGGCAATTTCGGACCGATTTACTGGCCTCCACCTAGACTGCCTCGCGGTGTAGCCTGAATATCAGACTCCATGAAATATGGACTCGTATATTGGTAATATTGCGCATGCACATAAGTGCGATTATTATGTTATTTTAAGGACCATTATGGGAGAGGGACCTTTCACTTGCGAGTGATCAACCAATAAATAGGGGAAAAGAGTCTGATTTTCATTGGAGTCCGATTTTCATAATTATGACACCGGCCAAGCGACTTAGGCCCTATTTGCAGGGCGGGGGTACGAGCGAAGCGCTATCATAAAGGATGCACATCGGTATCGTGAACAGCGCCCCTAGTGCAATGTGGTGTCCTGGTGTAGGGTTGTTTTTGTTTACATTTCAATATTCGTATTTTGAGAGTTAAGGATGAAAACTTGCTCTTCACATTATTTTGCACGAAAATAATGTCTGATCACAGGCTGATGAAGGATTGGAAAGCGAACGCAATACAGGCCTGATTTAAACTGTTTTTAAAAAATCTGTCA